TTCGGAAGGCCGAATTTGGGGCGCTATCCATGCCTGGGCCGGACAAAGACCGGCTCCTCGCTCTAAGCGGCATAAGTCTTTAGGGACTTGCAAAAAACCTCTCGAACAGCGACCAGCTCTCGCCTCATCATGACGGTCAGTTTTAGCTTTCTCCACTGAGGCGTTAACCCAGCTCAACTGGGGCGCAATCGCAGTGGTTCTCCCAGTGCTACCTTAGCCGATACAACGGAACATAAGGTACCAAAACATGGGAGCCGGGCAAACCCAACTATTGACCCAAGACATGATTCGGAGCTGATGCATATAATGCTATAAGTTCGGGGTGCCGCACTTGTGAAAGTGTTGGACTTATCACACCATGATGCGGGAAACATAAGCCCCTGGTGTATTTAGCCGTACCAAAACGTACGGATGCGTAATGTCACAAATGAACATATGTAAGAAAAGAAATGCAATTGCAAGCAAAAAGGTGCTGCATTACTTATTCAAGAAAAACTGTTGTAAGTGCAGAACGATACAAATGGTGCGATAAGCAAGGGATGGGACTGTTAAACATGTCCCCCTCCAGGGGTAAGCTGCGGAATGGTGCATAAAGCAGATTTAATGCTCGTAATGGAGACCACCTGGATATTCGTTGTAGCCTTTCTTCTTCCCTGGTTGTTGCATCGTGAGTTCGGCAGGTCTACTGCCGAACAGGGCCTCTGACGAACGGAGTCCTGTGGGTAAAAATAAAAAAGGAAAAAAGAGAAAAAAAAAAGAACGACACACTTGAGAGCCCCTGGTGTGGTTGAGCCGCAGTCTGGGCCTATCATGGTCGTGCCCCACTCCCCATGCCCATGGTATCTTCAGAGCGTAATGGTGTACGCGAAGGACCTGTCTTGACGTTTTACAGGGGCTGGGGTTGGGGACGCACTGCTATGCGTGCTCGGCACGTGCCAGGTGGTCTTGTTGTAGGTTACTCCGGGCGCGCTTAGCTGTGTCCGGCCGCTTAACGGCCGAACTCGAGAATTGCCTTAAGAGGCTGCATTGTACTTCTGCCGCGAGAGCCGCTGTATGTTCCTCCGTGCGGAGAGAACGTTCAGTGTTTCCGTTGACCGTGATGACTCCTCGAGGGCCTGGCATCTTGAGCTTGAGGTATGCGTAGTGCGGCACCGCGTTGAATTTTGCAAACACGGTACGTCCGAGCAGGGCATGATAGCCGTTGTGGAACGGAACTATGTTGAAGATTAACTCCTCGCTCCGGAAGTTATCCGGGGATCCGAAGACCACTTCCAGTGTAACTGAGCCTATACAATTGGCTTCTACACCTGGTATGACGCCTTTAAAGGTCGTCTTGGTAGGTTTAATCCTTGAGGGGTCTATGCCCATTTTGCGCACTGTGTCCTGATAAAGCAGGTTCAGGCTGCTGCCGCCGTCCATCAGGACTCTGGTGAGGTGAAATCCATCGACGATTGGGTCTAGAACCAATGCGGCGAATCCGCCATGGCGGATGCTAGTGGGGTGGTCCCTTCAGTCAAAAGTGATCGGGCAGGAGGACCATGGATTGAACTTCGGGGCAACTGGCTCCATCGCGTATACATCCCTGAGTGCACGCTTCCGCTCCCTTTTGGGTATGTGCGTTGCATATATCATGTTCACCGTCCGCACCTGTGGGGGGAAACCCTTCTGTCCTCTATTGTTCGGCGGTAGGGTCTCTTCTTCGTCATTGCTATGCAGCCCCTTGTCATTGTTTTCGGCAATTAACTTGCCTGCCTGCTTGAATACACAACAGTCCCTGTTGGTGTGGTTAGCTGGCTTTTCGGGGGTGCCATGTATCTGGCACAAGCGGTCGAGTATTCGGTCCAAATTGGATGGACCCGGAGTAGTTCTTTTGAATGGCTTTTTCCGCTGACCGGGTTTAGAGCCTCTGAATCCGGCATTGACTGTCGTATCCTCACTGTTGTCGCCGTTAATGTGGCGTTTGTTTTTGTTGCTACGCGACCTGCCATTACGGTCCTTGAAATCCGGACTGCCAGAATTTTTGCTGAGGTTATTGTTGCGTGCTAGCCAGCTGTCCTCACCCGCGCAGAAGCGGGTCATGAGTGATGTGAGGGCTGCCATTGATTTCGGCTTTTCCTGTCCTAGGTGCCGGGCAAACCACTCGTCGCGGATGTTGTGCTTGAAGGCCGCTAGGGCCTCTGCATCCGGATAGTCGACGATTTGGTTTTTCTTGGTTAAGAACCGTGTCCAGAATTGTCTGGCCGATTCGTCTGGCTGCTGAATATGTGGCTGAGGTCGTCAGCGTCTGGTGGTCGCACATACGCGCCTTGGAAGTTATCAAGGAATGCGGCTTCCAGGTCTTCCCAACTCCCAATTGACTCTGCTGGCAAGCTGTTAAGCCAATGCCGGGCTGGTCCTTTAAGCTTGAGGGGGAGATATTTGATGGCATGAAGATCGTCACCGCGGGCCATGTGGATGTGAAGGAGATAGTCTTCGATCCAAACCGCAGGTCTGTTGTGCCGTCGTAAGATTCAATATTCACGGGTATAAACCCTTCGGGGATTTGATGGTCCAGTACTTCATCTGTGAAGCATAGTGGGTGTGCGGCGCCTCTGTACTGGGCGATATCGCGACGGAGCTCGAAAGAGCTTTGTCTATTTTGTTTGGCCCGGCCGGACTTACTGTGTCCGGCATGACGGTTGTCGTCACGTATCATGGGGCGCCCACGTGATCCATAGATCGATCTTGATTGTCTTGCCTTATCCTCCAATATATCTCGCAAGTCCGGAGCGTTCCCCTGTGGCTTTGTGCTCTTTGAGTGATGCCGGGGTACGGTTCTAGTGAAGGGCCTAGGGGCCTCTCTGTCGCGACCACGGGGTGGTCGGTCAGCCGTATTGTCTGCTGGTGATGCAGGTTCATACGCCTCCTCCTCTAATCGGGGGAGCAGCTTGCGTTTAGGGTAACTTTTGGAGGGGCGTTCGAGCTCATGCTCTTCGGCCGCGAGGACTTTAGTCCATCTGTCGGCTAGCAGATCTTGATCAGCTCTAAGCTGTTGCTGCTTTTTCTTGAGGCTGTTTGCCGTGGCCATAAGCCTGCGTTTAAAACGCTCTTGTTTGACAGGATCCTCAGGCATGATGAATTCGTCGTCGTCGAGGCTTGCCTCGTCTCCGGAGGGAGGCATGTAGTCCTCTACCTCTTCTTCTGCCGCTCTCTCATGAGGGCTGGCGTCCCCGTCCTCCTGTGTTGAATCTTGCTGGAGTGGGTTGTCTTCGGCACTATCTGGGGTATTATTATCTCCGGTGTCGGAATCTTCATTCTTGCTATGGCGGGATTTAGAGCAGCGCCGCTGACGCTGGCGCTTGGGCTGTTTCTTGGAGGGGTCATCCTCCGCTGCCCCTTCGCCATTCCCCTCCTTTGAGATATCCACCATGTATATGTCATATGATGAGGTGGCTTTCCAGTGCCCGGTGGGCACTGGTTCTTGGTCGTCTCCGGCATCGTCGTCCATACCGTCGATGTCTTCGGAGTCGTAGTCAAGCATGTCGGTTAGATTGTCGACAGTGGCTACCAAGTGGGTGGCGGGTGGGTTTTGAATTTCTTCGTCGTCCGCATCCCAACCATCCTGGCCGCAGTCCGGCCAGGGCTCTCCTGATAATGAGAGATACCTTAGCGAACTCAGGATGTCGCCAAAAGGTGAGTGTTGAAAGATGTCCGAGGCAGTAAACTCCATGATCGGCGCCCGACCGGATTTGATTGGAGGGGGCGCGGGAGGCTCGTAGTCCGGCGAGGAGTCCGGCACCTCGGAGTCACGGGCTTCATGAGGGACAACATCAGTGTTCGGCTCTATCACCATAGAGGTTTCAGCCCCCGAGGCGGTGTCTAGCCATCCGTCCTCGATCTACGCAGCCGGCTCCGAATTCAAGATCGGAGCGGACTCGAGTGCGGCCTCCAGGGTACTGTCCGGCTGCAGAGCTAAATCATGCCCGTCGTGACAGTGCGACGCGCTCGGCTGTGGCTCGAATCCGTCGAAGATCAAGTCCCCGCGGATGTCAGCCGTGAAGTTCAAACTTCCAAATCTGACCTGACGGCCAGGGGCGTAGCTTTCGATCTCCTCCAGATGGCCAAGCGAATTGGCCCGCAGTGCAAAGCCGCCGAATACGAAGATCTGTCCGGGGAGGAAGGTCTCACCCTGGACTGCATCGTTGTTGATGATCGAAGAAGCCATCAAGCCTATCGGTGATGACACAGAGGAACTCTCAATGAAAGCACCAATGTCGGTGTCAAAACCGGTGGATCTCGGGTAGGGGGTCCCGAACTGTGCATCTAGGCGGATGGTAACAGGAGACGAGGGACACGATGTTTTACCCAGGTTCAGGCCCTCTTGATGGAGGTAAAACCCTACGTCCTGCTTGATTAATATTGATGATGTGTGTTACAAGAGTAGATCTACCACGAGATCAAGGAGGCTAAACCCTAGAAGCTAGCCTATGGTATGATTGTTGTTCGTCCTACGGACTAAAGCCATCCGGTTTATATAGACACCGGAGAGGGCTAGGGTTACACAGAGTCGGTTACAATGGTAGGAGATCTACATATCCGTATCGCCAAGCTTGCCTTCCACGCCAAGGAAAGTCCCATCCGGACACGGGACGAAGTCTTCAATCTTGTATCTTCATAGTCTTGGAGTCCGGCCGATGATGATAGTTCGGCAATCCGGACACCCCCTAGTCTAGGACTCCCTCAGTGGTGATGATTGTAATGGCGTGGTGTGAGTGTTGAGTTCGTGCTCAAGGAAAGGTGTTCGTGCACCGGAAAAACCACCTCGCCGTGTACCTATTCTTCTTCCTCCTTCTCCTTCTTCCTTGTTGGGTAGAGCCATGGCAACAGAGAGAAAGAGGAGATCAGCTGCGAGGGATCGGCGGTTCCAACAAATCTGTATAAATGAAGCAAAGCTGAACAAGTGTTACTACGTAGTAGGGACTGACCGTGATCTCGACCGGAACATTCTTGTCAATGCGGTGCTAGTAGTAGAGGTCGATGCAGTCGATGCCGAGCCGAGCGAGGCTGCCATCGCACGCCGCCCGCACGTACGCCGGGTCGCCGCGGACCTCCCGGGCCGGCGTGATGCCGAATTTCGTGGCCAACTGGACCTTCTCCATCGCCCCTCCCTGTAGCGCGTGCTTTATCACACAGAGAACTCTTTCCGGTCAGACATCCGCGTGCAAATGATATGGCAACTACTAGCAGGGAGCCAAGGAACACGTCGGGTGGCTATAGTATGGTAACCTACCTTCCCGAGCAAGAGCTTGTTGGTGTGGGGCCCGTAGATGTCGGAGGTGTCCAGGAAGGTGACACCGGCGGCGACGGCGTGGCGGAGGAGCGCGATCATGTCCTGCTCGGGCTTGCGCTCGCCATAGGCCGCGGACATGCCCATGCAGCCGAGGCCCTGCGCCGAGACCTCCAGCCCCTGCGAGCCGAGCTTCATGCGCGGCACAACCACCGGAGCAGCAGCCATGTCGTTCGTGCCTGCGCAGCGTGTGTGATGAACTGATGATTGGTGGATGAGTAAGGCTAGCCATAGTGGGGGTAACATAAGTAGTATCATGTGCTTGGGACTCGCAAACATGCTTATGTGGCATGCAATTAAAGAAGAAAGAGATGGTTATAGTAACATAGGTAGATACCGTAACATAATAAATGTGATGCTACTATGTGTCATGCATGGCAATAAATGAGACCATCTATGGTACTAATATATGATAATATGCACTATAGAGGTGGTAACATAGATTAGTAACATATGCATGTTACTAGTCTAAGTTACTCCCCACCCCTGTTCAAGAATTCATCCGATTAACCAGTTAACTTGCCAATTAATCCCTACTCGTAGGGTCACCGAGTATCCTATAAACCGATTAATCATCCGATTAATTGATTAAATGGTCGATTAACTTGCCGATTAGCCGATTAATCCCCTACTCACCAGCCAACCGAGCAGCTACCAGTTAACGATTTCCTCAACAATGCTCCCCACTATGACCAGCCTAAGTAGGTCTGGAGCTTGCGGTGCAATTTATAGTGCGGCGGAGGGTGTCATGGAGTAGGTCACCACTTACCAGGCTCCTGGTTTGAATGAGCTGCCAAACTAGAGCAGAGCGTCACTGCGTACGTTAAATTGAAATGGACATTGATCTTTTTCACTCTTCTAAGGTCCTCTTCTAGATTCCTCGTATTCCATGACAGTGAGTGAGTGGCGGGGAGGTTCGAATGGGACGCCACGGTGGCTGGCTGGCTGGTGGAACGGATGGGCACGCCACGGGGAAAGGAACTTGTGCGTCTAGGAGGCAGATGCCACAGCGATCGGCGACGGGTCACCGCCCGTCTCCGCCACACGAAAAATCCGATGATGGACACCAAAGTGCGAAGTGGCTGCCGACGCCCCGTCGGTCGCTTCAGCGTCGCCGTTGGCCGGGGGTTCGTGTGCTCACGCACGCAACTCATCGGAGAATCGGACGGGTCTGGCATCCGAATCGTGTGTGTCACAGCCATGCATGTGTCCTGTCTACGATTGCTGGCTTGGCTGGCTAGCTTGTGGATAGATTTGGCTCGGACATACGATACGACGGCGACGCCTGCCTGCTATCCGCTCCTGCGTGTCGAGTGAGTGGCGAGGAGATCCAAGGAGATTGTCCATACATGGAGGCATTCGTGTGCGGCACACTCTTAAGAAAGCCTTGGTCAGCTTACATGTTCCCCGCCTGCTGTACGAGCTGCCGTCAAATTTAATGCGCCTGAGACATGGTTTTCATTTTGTGCTATACGTGAGAAATACGGAGATAGAATACCACTGGTGGCACAAATCCCCATTCTACTGGACGATGTTGATTTCAGGTTCATCTGAGCCCAAGCTAGAAACGAATATCCGTCCCTCAATCCCATAATATAGTTAGTGTTAAAAACGCTCTTATATTATGAAACGGAGGAAGTAGTTATTAGGGCGTGTGAGCCAAGTTATCTCGCGTAACGCTCCGTCATGGCTGTCGATCTAGTGATACCTTGGCACCAGAGTTCTCTGCCCCCGCTCCCCCGCTCCCCTCCCCCTCCGCGCACTACTCCGGCGCCGGCGTCCACCGCTCCCCCGCCGCGGGTCACTCCGACCGCGGCGTCCACCCTCCTGCTCTGGCCGCCGCCCGCCATGGCTGGTAGCCCAGGCTCCGTCAGCTCGTCGTTCAGGCCCAGTGG